GCTATGTTTTGGTGCCCAATTTTAGTCCTTAAAACAAAAAATGTAGTCCCTATTATATTTTCGTGCCCAATTTTAGTCCTTAAAACAAAAAAATACAGTCCCTATTATGTTTTCGTGCCCAACTTTAGTCCTTAAAACAAAAAAATATAGTCCCTATTATGTTTGGGTGCTCAATTTTAGTCCTAAATATATAATTTTATTATTTAATATTTAATAATTAATAATTATGCAATGAATGTATCATGATTTTTATGATCAGGTCAATAATTTGTTCCTTTGAAATTTGATTTCATCTTTTCGATGTTTAAATTATTTTACACAACTACTTTGATGTTATTAACAAAAAAGGACCGTTAATTCACAGAAATTGAGGTTAAGGGACTACATTTTTTGGGTTTTAGAACTAAAATTGGGCACCAAAACATAATATGGACTACATTTTTTTATTTTTAGGACTAAAATTGAGCACCCAAACATAATAGGGACTATATATTTTTGTTTTAAGGACTAAAATTGGGCACGAAAACATAATAGGGACTACATTTTTTGTTTTAAGGACTAAAATTGAGCACCAAAACATAGCAGAGACTACATTTTTTGTTTTAAGGACTAAAATTGGGCACCAAAACATAATGAGGACTACATTTTTTTTGTTTTAAGGACTAAAATTAGACACCAAAACATAATAGGGACTCAGTCTGAATACCCCCTAAACATGGAGGACCAAAAGTGGACTTTACCCTTTTTTTTTTGTTCGATTTTTTTTTTTTTTTAGTGAGGGGACGAATTTGAGAGAGGGGAGAGAAAGGTGGGAGTGCGTGCGGCCGTGCGGGTTTTTCCCCTGGTGCGGCTTTTTCGTTTTTTTTTAAAAAATTAGTAAGGGTATTTTGGTCTTTTTAGGGTGCAGTATAATGAATTTGGGTGCGTGTTTAACGATTCATAACTCAAATTCATTAACTTAAGTTTGAGGATGAACTCAAGTCAAAAGAACATATTATCTCATATAGAGATTCTTATTCATTAACTTAAGTTTGAGGATGAACTCAAGTCAAAAGAACATATTATCTCATATAGAGATTCTACGGTCTTGTTATGGAATCATCCCGTTAAGATTTATAATGGTTAGATAAACTATTCATGACGATTACAAATCTCAACGAAATGGTTACTGAGAATTCCTAGTCAAAAAAACATATTATCTCATAACAACTCAATCAACCAGTAAATCCCCCGCCAGCCTGGCGATCCGCTCCTTCAACTGCCAGCCAATCACACTCGATTTAACGCTTTCCTATATAAACATACACAGTTTCACTCACCCTGGCACTCAAAAGACTAGGGTTTCGCTGTCAATCACCACCCGCGCAGCCGGAAAATGAGCTCAAACGCGTCGACGAAAGGCGGCAGGGGCAAGCCCAAGTCTTCTAAATCCGTTTCCCGATCTTCCAAGGCCGGACTGCAGTTCCCGGTCGGTAGAATCGCGCGTTTTCTGAAGACTGGAAAGTACGCCGAGCGTGTCGGCGCCGGCGCTCCTGTTTACCTTTCGGCCGTCCTCGAATACTTGGCTGCTGAGGTGTGTTTTCACTTATTGGATTATTCAGTTTGCAGTACTTTTAGCTATATTTTTTATGCTGCAGCATTGTCATTTGATCGATTGCCATCATTGTTCTTGAGTACTGGTCTACGTTCAGTGTGGGGCGATTCTCGATAGAGGGCTATATTTTGATCGTGTGATTAGAGGGCTATATTTTGATATTGTGTGGATTAACAAAATTGAAAAGATGCTTAAGAACGTTAATTTTCACTGTGTTTGCTAAAAATTCTGTGATTTTCTTTTGGTATTTAGCAGTGTTGTTCAATTAATACATATGTTGTCACATTTGATTATGTGATCATAGATCTAACAACTGATTATGTTAGAATTATTGAATTTAAGAAGTCGCCAAAGATTGTGTTTCTTTTTTACTTGTGTTGCTTGGGTTTGATAAAAATCTCTGTTAGTAACTTATGAGTATTTGGCAATGAATGATGTTCGACCAATCCGACTATTTCGTCGAACTTTATATAGGTATTGGAGCTTGCTGGGAATGCAGCAAGGGACAACAAGAAGAACAGGATTGTGCCCAGGCACATACAATTAGCAGTGAGGAATGATGAAGAACTGAGCAAGTTGCTGGGGCATGTGACCATTGCAAATGGTGGTGTGTTGCCAAATATTCACCAGACTTTGTTGCCCAAGAAAACTGGTGGTAAGGGGGACAAAGAAATTGGGTCTGCATCACAAGAGTTTTAGGCCTTTTTGATGTGTAAGGAAAAACTGGTGGTAAGGGGATGAAGAAATTTGGTCGGCGCCGGGCACGACAGTTTTAGGCCTTTTGCAGTCATTTGATGAGATATGATGAAATCTTTTTGATGGAGCCTCAGTTATGAGTTTGGTATGAATATATACAGTGGCATGTTCGTGTCATTATGAAGTCTTCAA